GAAAGCACACAAAGTCAAGTGCACTTCAGTACAAATGCTTTACTAGTCATCGCCAGCGTTGACCACATTGGGAATACTTGTTATCAAACATTAGGCATGGGAGTAGCTTAGGTTAATAATGTGTAGGTGTTTACAGTTACTTAATATTCTGTCGTGAGTTTTGTTTTGGTTTTTGTTGGTGTTTTGGTTTGATTTCAATGCAGGTTTTCTCTGTGTACCCTTGGGTGTCCCAAAACTCTCTCTGTAGCTCAGGCTGGCCAGGGATTTAGAGATTTGCCTGCCATTGCTTCCCTATGCTGGGGTTAAAGATGTGTGCCACCACTGTCTGACCAGGCTTTGGTTTTTAATAGAGTGTTTTACTATATAGACCAGGCTGACCTTGAACTCACAGAGATCTTTCTGCCTCTGCCTCTGGAGTACAGTGTGCTGGAATTAATGTTTCCTTCCATATAGTCATCCTTTGATTGTTTTAACACACGTACACACACATACACACTAGTATACTGTAGCTGTCTTCAGACACACTAAAAGAGGGCATCTGATCCCATTACAGATGGTTGTGAGTCACCATGTGGTTGCTGGGAATTGAACTCAGGACCTCTGGAAGAGCAGTCAGTGCTCTTAACCACTGAACCATCTCTCTAGCCCCCAAGAAATGTTTTTAAAAAGACATTTTTATTAGTTTCATACATGAATTCAATGTTATAATTTGATTAGTATCCCCTTAATCCCTTCCATGTTTTTTGTAGTTCACTGATTCCAGGTTGTACTTTGTATATATTCATAGGTGTGGGGCCATCCACTAGAGCATGTGAACCTGCTGGGGCTACATCTTTAAACACTCAACAGGGCTCCTCAGCTGTGGGGTGGGGGTGTGGTCCTGCTTCCCTTTTGTGCTGGAATATTGACCCTTGCTGTTTTGAAGGTAGACTATTAGGTTTTGGGGCTTTTTTATTTTGATTTAGATTACATGGAGTCCTTTTGTTTCTCTGTCTCCTGTGTCCCAGTCGTGCAGATCAAAACTGGTCCTTGAGCATGCCAGGCAAGTACCCTACTACTGAGCCCCAGCCCCAGAACAGCTTCTCTAATTTGAAGCCAGTGGGGTAAAAGTGTACATTGTTTTTTGTTTGGATGATGCTGACTGTTGACCTCAGCATTGTGTTTGCTAGTCATGTGCTCTGTCTGCTATGCCACTGACCTACCAAACCTATGGTTACAGGAGATAAGCTCCCATCATGTAGTTCAGGCTAGCCTCAAACTCAGAAAACTCTTCTTCCCAAGTTCTGAGACTGTAGGGTGTGGTTTAAAGTATTAAACCACCTATTTACATTTTATGTGAGAGTAAAGTGGAATTTTTATTTCAGTCACCTGTGAAAATGTACAAAGTTACCCCCTTCAAGAAGACATGGGTGAAAGTTCATATTTTCCCCAAGCAGAGGATCTTTATTCTGAGTGACGTGAAAGGTAAAACCTTGATCAGACAAGCTACTGTTCTTGGTAGAGCCAGGAGCAACTGTCACGCCTACAGCACCTGTAACCTAGGCTTACCTTCAGCATTCTGGGCAGCAGAGCATGGCCTTTTATTTCCTGTGTTCCCTACTTCCACATCCCAGATGCTGGGGTTACAAGTGCTCTCTGACACAGCCAAGAGAGTATCACTTTTTAAAAGATGTATTTGTATGAATGTTCTGCCCAACATGTGTTTATGTATGTACACCAGGAGCATGCCTGGTACCATGGGTGTCAAAAGAAGGTATTAGATCCCCTGGAACTGGAGTTATAGATGGTTGTGAGCCACCATGTGGTATTAAGAAATAGGTCTTCTGCAAGAGCAACGACTCTTAAGTGCTAAGCTCTCTCTCCAGCTCCCTGTATATCAGTTTTCCTGTTAGCTATCTTTCCTTAATGACACTTTCTTTATATGTGTGTGTGGCTGTATGGATGTGTGGCAGGTGCACATACACATGTGGAAGCTAGAAGTTATATGTCTTAGTCCCTGACCATTTTGTCTCTTTTGTGTATGTTCTTTATGTGCACTTGCATATGGTGTATATGTGGAGGCCAGAGGACACCTTCAGCAATTGTTCCTTCAGAGCCATCTATCTTTTTTGGTTTGTTTTTTTGTTTGTTTTTGTTTTTTGCGTTTTAAGATAGCATCTCATTATATTCCTAGCTAGAGCCTGGAATTCACTATGTAGACAAGATAAGTCTTGAACTCAAAAACATCTGTCTGCTTCTACTTAGTAAGAGCTGGGATTACAGCCATGTATCACCATGGCCAGGCTCCTTCCCCCTTTCCTAAGATGGGGTCTCTCATCTTACATTACATTAATATGTAAGATGGGACTTACATGTTATACTAAACTGACTAGTCAGCCAGCCCCAGGGATCCTCCTGCCTCCCCAGGGCTGGAATTACAAGAGCAGGCCACCTGGTTTTTGTTTTTTAAAATGTGGACTCAGGAAGCAAACAAACTCGGGTTCCTAAGCTTTCATGGCAAGCACCTTACCAACTTCGCTATCTTCCCCAGGCCTGTCTCCCTTTTACTATTTTTAAGACGGAGTCTCATGTAGTCAGGCTGGCCTAGAACCTGCTATGTAGTGGACAGTGACTTTAATTTCTGATCCTCCTGTTTCTACTTCCTGAATGGTGGGATTACAGGTTTATCAAACCCAGGACTCTACATAATAGGAAACCACTGTACCAACTGAACTACATTCCAGGCTACTATTTAAGAGAACAATCTATTTTTTGGATCTTAATCAATCTTGAATTCTCTGCTTCTGTCCCCTAAAACTCCGAAATCAAAAAAGGATTCTGTCTCTTAGCAGTCTGTGTTTTTGAGTAACCCAAGTAGAGTTCTGTTTGCCTGTCTGAGTTAGCCTGGGAAGCATTTCCTTATTCATAGCCATGCCCAGTACAAGAAAGGGAGCAAACTGAAATTGCTCACTTGTAAGCAAGGTCTTTGAGCAGCTGTTAAAATGTTTGGCAAAGGACTTGCATGAAAGGCTGTGGTGTGTGTGTGTGTGGAGGATCATTTGTCATCAGAACGCTGTTACTACAGGCAACTCGGTGTCTACTCTGCTGGAGTAGTAGTTTGTGTCTCAATCTCGAAAGTGTTGATAGAAGAGTTTTGTGTTAATTTTTATCATCCCAACAGCATAAATAGCAAAAATGTTAGTGCCTTTGAAACAGTTAGAAATTTGCATAACACGGTAAAGCAAAATAATTTAGAGATACTTAAAATTATAATTTGTGTAGTTTTAAAAACTAGACTTAATTTGCCTCTTCAAAGTAGGATGTACACCTTTCCTAATGATAAATGCATTTAAGGTCTTCCCAGGGTGGATTCTGGAAATGCCATGTTTCTAATGGTAAGAGAAATAGATTGTCTCTAGTTACATGTTTCTGAGGAAAATGACCTGAAATTAGCGGTTCTCACTGCTGCACCCTATTGTGGTGCCAGTCAAAAGAGACATGGCCTTGCAAGGTAAAGCCAGAGGGCACTGTTGCTGCTTTCCACCAAACAGCCAGTTTTCTTGGGCTGCTGTATGATGTCATAGTAGAAAAAAATGAAAAAACACGAAGAAAACTATTTCAAAATAGACATTTAATGCAATTTTTAGATCAAAGGAAAATTGATTTTACAGTTTCTGCAGTAGACCACCTGGCAGAGTAGGACTAGCAGAGTTTGGTTTTGAAGGCCCCAGTCTGTCCCCCTGGCACAGCTTTCCTTGATTATTGATTTGTATATGCTGCTTATGTATCATAAAGGGCATCTGATCCTTGACGTTCAGTCACCTCCATTGCTGCCACTGAGCTGGCAGGACAGCCCGAGACGCCCCACCCCAACGGGGTTTTTAACCACTAAGGAGTTCGACAACCTCCCAAGTCTTGAACCCACTTGAATATATATAATATATTCAATATATATAATATATTCAATATATATATATATTATATATATATTATATATGTATATATGTATAATATATATATTCACACACACAAGTATGTGGGGCTTGCGGACCCCCAAAGGCCCCCTATGGTTTTAAGGCTCCAAGTTAAAGAGCCAGTGTGCTAATGATTTTAGCAATATAACTGCCCTAAGGAAACACTGATACAGGTCAGGCAACAGGGTTGCATTAACTATACTGACGAGAAAGAACAATCACTGAGTTTACAGTTTTGATTCTATGATAAGGATTAGTTCTCAGAGTCTCCCTGCATTTTCAAGAGCAGACCTACCTAACGTAGGCAGCCGTACAGGCAGCCCTGGAGACTGAGAATAGCTGCTGTACTGGGACATGCAGGGTTTCTATCCATCATCTAAAGACCTCAGTCCTCTCCTGAGCCAGCTTTACTAGTAGAAATTATAGTTGGGAAAGGGCAGCTTTTCTTTCTTTCTTTTTTTAATAGAAAAGTACTTAAATATTGGACAATGACACTGAGTCCTTAGCCATTAAGTCCAACATGTCTCTAACATGTTTTCTCACAAGTTTATTTTGGCTATCTCTTGGTTGTACTAAGAAAGCAAGTTTCCCAGAAGCCTTACTTACCTAGGTAGGCAAACAGGAACTCCATTGGAGTTTTGTGAGATGGTTAGGAGGGAAGCCAGGATTACTGAAAACTTGACTTGTCGAGAAATGAAATGAGGCTTTTACTTATCTAACAATTGCCAAATCAGGCTTATACTTTTGTTAGCACACTTTTGAACAGCCATCAAGGCACACAAAGCCAAGCTGCTGCCTGTAGCCACTTTCTACTCCTCAGCATTAGGAAGCAGGTACACTGAAGTACTGAAGATAGTAACACTGGGTACATTTTACCTGAACTGTACTTTGAAGCATACTTAAAACCCATTGGTGGGGGTGGAGGGAACAAACTGAATTTCTTTATTCAAGTATTTTTGCAAATTTAACGATTTTGCTATCCCACCTCAAAAGTGCAGTTACACAAACCAGCACGATTTTGAATATCTAGAAATCACACTGAAACTGTTACGTTTACAAACATTAAATTTATTATAACTAGAATGAATGTAATGGTTCTCAGATTTGGCCACCTTATAGCTCCGCTTAAGGAGGGGGGTTTTTTTTTAAACCGAAAAATGCATTATAACTTGGTCAAATTACTTGCACATTAAGAAACAACATCTAAGGAGGAAAACAAGAAAAGCAACCCTTCAGTTTCACATAATTAAAGAACAGGAGAAAGCACACAAGCCAACATCATAGCTAAATTTACCAAACCAAAGCCGGGGCGATTTTCTCTTCTGATTATGTGTCATAAAAAGGTCCGCTGTCTTATATACACATGTATATAATGTTACATTCCAGCACTGTAAAAAGTCCCCTTTGCCCCCTCCCCCAAAAGTTTTCAGTCTAGTCGCCGAACTTGGAAAGAGGCGCTCGCTCCTGCTGCCGGTGCAGTTCGTTCTCGGTCAGCAGCTGGAGGTTCTCGGCGCGCAGCCGGTCCAGCTCTAGCTCAAGCTCCCGCACTCGCGCGTCGACACCACCCAGCCGCTTGCTTTCCAGCCGCAGTCGGTTATTTTCGTCCTCCTTGCGGGAGAGGCACTTCTCCAGCTCCAGGTACTCTTTGATGAGCTCCTGCTTGCTCATGTTCTGCAGGCTCTCGGCGTGGTACCGCTCGTATGTCTCCGAGAAGTCCCGTTGCAGAAACTCGCTGCCGTCCCCTCCCATGCCATCGCTACCCCCGTCTTCCTCTCCAGCTTCTTCCACAAAATCCTCATCGCTGGTGTCGTCCGATTTGGCGGCTGCCCGCTTGGGGTAAAGACCAGTTTTGAGATCGGGCTCCTCCTGATCGTGGTCATCCATGAGGAACTGCGTGGTGTTATAGGGCGCAACCGGCTGGCCCTTGGCGAACATCTCGGCTCGAACCCGCGAAGCTCGCAGGCTCTGCTTCTCGTCGAACTTTTTCTTCTCCTCCCAAGTCAGCTTGTAGTAGGGCTTCCAATGCCGCTTCTTCTTGGAGGGGCGTCTCCGATGTTTTTTCTTCCCCAGCTGTCTCTGTTGCTGTCCCCATGGCTCCTCGCCTCCAGCGGCAGGAGCCTCCAGATTGGTGGCCTCCGAGTCATGACCTGGCTCCACGAGGGACTCTGACATCAGCTCCCCCTCCGCCGACGGGGAGGCACCACCAGTGGATAAGTCCTCCCCATTCTGCCCCTTCTCGCCCTTTTCCAGGGAGCTCAATTCTGGACAGGCATTCGTCTGCAATGGGGGCAGCTGGTCCTTCAGGCCCCCTTCTCCCTCCTGCCATGGACGGCTACCCGACTGCAAGGACGCTCTCGATTGCCACCTACTGTCCTCCTTGGGCACCCGTTCCTCCGCGCTTGGGGGGCGCTCAGAGTTCTGCTCCTCATGGACAACAGCAGCACCTGTACAGTTGCTAGTTTGAGGCTGGTGTTGATGTTCTGACAAGAGTGGCTCGGCCATGGCTTTGTAGAGTCCTCTTCTGGAAGTTTGAGAAATTCTAGCTTAAGGAAAAAGGTTTTTCTTTCTTTTCAAAATATGTCCAACAAAGTCCTCTTCGGTCAGTAATTTCTGCAATGACGCCTTCGTCCGTCCTGTCAGCAAACTCCAATCGCAACTTGGAATACAGTCAATAAAGGGTTAAGCGCACACAGCGTGGCCAGTAGGTCCAGAGGGTTCAGCTGCAGGAACCCTACGTAATATGCAGAGGAGTGGGCTTCACGCCTCCCCGCCGAATGCTCCCACAGTCGAGGAGTTGGTGGGCAAGGAGATGAGGTTTAAGTCCAATGGGTTAAACCCAACCCCGAAAGGGTTAAAACTACCCGATGACGCTGCCTCGGAGGGGCCGAATCCACAAAGGGTTAAATCCCCTGCCGCAGAACCCACAAGGGGTTAAAGTCCCAGAGCCGCCGCCTCCCACTTCCACTGGTGTCGCTCCAACCCGAGCTCCCAGTTCCTCAGGCCGGGCCGGAGCCTTAGCCGAGGACAGACAAACTCATCTCCCCTCTGGCTCGATGCTCCGCTCAGTTCTCCTCCACCTCCTCCTCCTCTTTTCCTCCCTCCCTCCTCCCCCTTCAGACAGCGCTTCTTCCGCCTCCTCCTCCGGCTTCCCCTCCCAACCTGACTTTCCACCTGCCAACTTCCAACTGCTGTCTCCTAGCCCCCGGCGCTTCTTATATATAAAAGCTTGCAGGCCCCGCCCATGCGCATGCGTAACGGAGTCCCGGTGTGGGGCAGCCGGGAATCGTAGTTTCCTTCTTTCCGGCCCGCCGTCCTCGCGCGCCGTGCAACGTAGCCAATCATAGAACGCGTAGGGGGCGTCTCCCAGGTCGCCTCCTTCCATCGCTTCGCTGTCGCTGAAGAAACCTGAGCGGTCATTGGGCAAGAGTTATTCGTCTCTCTGAGGAAGGAAAGCCAATCACAGAGGAGATGGGGCGGGTTCCGGCCATACCATTGTGCTTCAGGAATACAAGAAGATTCCACGACCTTTGGGAGCCTAGACAGAATATTTTTATTAAAAGGTGCGTTTAAAAAACTACTTGTCGTATTCTGTCCTCAGCGGAAAGGTTCTGATGGCCATAAACGGTTTTCAACTTATGCAAAAAATGGTCTGTCCCTAAAAAGTAGTCCCTAACGTGTAAAAGAGGATTAATTCCTATAAAGAGAGCTGTTAGTCGTGATTACTGACACTGGATTCTTAAAATTACAATAATGTCTCTGAGGTAGGTGATGGGTTCCTTGGAGAGAGATAAGCGGAAGGATATTGTGGACAAATATTTATTTAAAAAAAAAAGACGAAAAGCGCAAGAAGAAGTAAACAAATGAAGAATTAAGAAGTGCCGCCTTAAAGGGACAGTGTGATGGCCTGTTGTGCATCAGCCTCAGACTAGGCCTCGGGAGATGAGAGGGCGGGTTCGAGTCCTGAGTGACGTCGGTCCTCAGGCTACTACTCTGGGGACCCTTAAGTGAGAGCAGCCACCTGGGCCAAGAGCTGTCTCCGTACCAGAGGTGAAAGCAAAATGGTCAACCGCGACCGAGCACTCGGCCTGAGGCCCGATCGAAAGCGCGTGGTGAGGATGAAGGACTCGCCCCGAACCCCGGCTTCTGCCAAAGAAAATGGCCTCCTGGGGTCGACTTGGCCTCTTCGCTTCCGATCTCGCGAACCTTTCCTTAGCCAGGATAGAAGAGACTGGGCTAGTTGATACGAAGTCTATGTTGGGGAGGGGTCCAAAAATGAATACGTTCCTGAAAGATGGGGGATGTTGTCCACAGAGATGAGACTTGGGGGTGAGATGAGACTTGGGGGTCGGGGGAGAGGCTTCGAGAAGGAAGGCTGGAGGCCTTTCCCAAAATGGGTGTGTTTGGCCCAGGGCCGTGGGGTACAGTGGGGGTGAAGTGGGGGCTCTGTTCCCCCTTAAAAGGGATTTACACTGTGTTCCCCCAAAGAAGGACCCGAGAAACTCCCTTTAATCCCCGTGACGTAATTGCCACTTCTCCCTTTGCCTGAGTACCTAGTGAGCCATTCTTCTTTCTCCTTACAGCCCAGCCATGATTAAGTGAGATTCTACACATGGAAGTACTTGACCATCGCAGCCATGTGAGATAGGGCAGGATTTAGCCTCCATTTTAGATAAAGGAAAGCTCTAAGACGTGGAGAAATAAAGTGACTTATCCAAGGTCGCCTGACAACTAAGGGGCAGTTCTAACTAGAGCCTATCTTCCTGACATCATCTAATACCATTTTTCTGTCAAAACCACAAAGTCCAAGACTTGGAAAGCTAGTTAAAGGGACTGGCAGCTCTTGCCTTGGCCTGAGATTGGTTCCTCAGCATTCATGTGCTGGCTCAGGATCGTAACTCCAGACCTAGAGGACCTGATACTCTTCACTGACACCAGGCATATGCGGTACACACCTGCAGGAAAGGAGAAAAAAAACCATCAGATATGTTAAAAAATAATAATTTAAAAACAAAACACTGAATCCTTTCCCCTGCACCCCCTCAAATTTGTTTTTTGTTTTATTTCCAGTAACTTAAAAGCTTCAGATCTTTGCAAACTGTTACAAACTTGGCAGTCATCTGTTAGGAGAAAAAAAGATTAAAGTCTTTGAGCTTCAGGTTGCCGAGACTGCACAATGAAGCCCAGGCACAGTGAGCCAAAATGGCAATAAAGAAAATCCATGCAGGACCTCGGGATCCAGACTGCTGGGGACTGGAAAATCTGTGGTCCAGTATTACAGAGCAATAGACCTGGAAGGAGTAGGAAGCACATTTCTGTTTTGTTTTTGAGGCAAGGCCTCAGTATATTGTTGTGCCTGAAATGCAGATCCTCCTGCCTCAGCGCCACAGTAATAATTTAGGTGCACATCACCTCCCAGGTTAAAGGTGTTTTATAACCTGGTGTTTATATAAAAGGATTTAGGAGCTTCAGCAAGAGTGTTGGGTGGGAGGCAGAGGCAGGCAGGTTTCTGAGTTCCAGGCCAGCCTGGTCTACAGAGTGAGTTCCAGGATAGCCAGGGCTACACAGAGAAACCCTGTCTCGAAAAACCAAACCAAAAAAAAAAAAAAAAAAGAGTGCTGGGTGGGGCAACAATCTTAGTGTGAGACTGTCTCTGAGGGGAAGCAAGGAAGAATGCCCCCAGGGGACATGCAGATGTTTTGAAAATGACCATTCTAGCTTGTTTTCCATGTGCTGCCTGAAACCTGGTCTGCCTGAAAAGCCTGCCTTTCTTCTTTCATTACTTAGGACGCACCAAGAGACCAAGAACAAAGGGGGCACAAGCTATGGGGGAAGATGGCCCCATAGTTGAGAGCATTTGTTCTCCTAGGGGATCCAGGCTCTGTTCCCAACATCCCTGTGGCAGTTCACAACATAACCCCAGTTCCTAAGGATCCCGTGCCCTCTTCTGGCCTCCACCAGCACCAGGCATGTGTGATACAGAGTCATATATGCTCATATACATAAAATGTATCTTAAGTGTGTTTTTGTTTGTTTTAAAGAGGAAAGGGGGTCTTTGCAGGCAGCTTGACTGCAAAAGTCAGAATGTCCACACTTCAGGCTTTAGAGGACTTGAGCACGCAGTCGGGAATATGGAAGCTATGGTTGAATTTTACTAGACAGGGCTAAGCAGTAAGGTCTCATCGATAACAGGAGGGGTATGTTCACCAAGGTCATAGAACTCCGGAACTTCTGTATTCTGAGTCGTAGCCTTTTGCCAAATGTTTTCTACCCTCTGAGCACTGTTAAATCACTCAAGTGCCTTATGGTGCAGAAATCGTTCCTGTTTCATAAACAAGTCAATCCAGATTCAGAACAGCTAATCTTTTAGTCCACACTTGCCGAGCCAGCATCGGAGTTGTGAAGCCGACTTTACTTTTCCCTGCGTCCTGGCTCCAGCTGCTCAGCTGATATCTGCCGACACCACATGTTATCCTTCTTCAGCCTTTTTGCTTGTGACACTGTGAAGCCACAGAACCTGTGTAGTGAGTGGTGGCTGTCTTTAGGGCTATCCTCCCTGCTGTTAAAGTCCCAGAGAGTATCTGTGTTTTACAGTGAGGAACAAGGATGGCCAACCCTGGGGAAGCAGTCTGCCTCACAGGGTGTGAGGGAACTCAGAGGAACGAGTCTAAGAATCCCCAGTACTGTCTTTTTGTCCCCCAAGAACAAGGAAGATCCTGGAGCCCAGGTGGTAGCAGCTGCCAATAGCTAGCCCTGGATGGCTCTGCGCACTAGTAGGTGCAGAGTGGGTAGTTTAAAGCCAAATACAGGTTAGTAGCTGGAGCCAGATAGGCCCAGCAGGAACAGATTATCCTGCAGGAGGCCAAGGCCGCCTAGGCAGTTAACAAAAGTTCCAAGGCCAAGTCGCTTAAGAGTTCTGTGCAGGCACTAGGTCCACCACAAATAGGGGTCCAAGCAACGCAGAACTCTGCCCCCACCCCTCAGGATAGAGGCTCAAAGTGGGCAGGCTCTGGCTTTCTAGAAAATTCTTTGAGAAGAACGGTGGTGATCATGATAGGGAGTAACAACCAAGACGTAAGGGCTTGGGAAGAGGCAAGGACGTTTGGAGCCTAGCACTGGGTACCCCAATCCTTACTACTGTGTGCAGTTAGGTCAGCAGTCCTCCCTCCGGGGCGCGGCCGACCAACGCCCCATTCTCTGCAAGAACTCCAGGCTTCCAAGCCCCGGGGCGTCCCCAGGGGCGCTCCCTGACCCCAGTCTGAGGCCTGTTTTCTCCTGGTTCCTTTAGGGAGGAGGGAAGATATTCCTTATTAGGAAGCCCTAGTCTCTGCAGGGGATTTGGGGAGGGAGTGGGACCGGACTTGTGATTGGCGCAACCCGCCCGCTTCCCGCTCTTTCCAAGGGTTCCCAGACCGCAGACTGAGGTTTTCTTTTGTTTAATGAAGTGTTCAATTGCACGTGAATCTTCAGTGAAGTCCAGAGCGCGACGTGTATTTGCGGGTGTGTACGGGGCATCCCAGCCCCCAGCCTACACTTCTCATTCCTCCCCACTCCTGCGGGCTCCGGCCTTTCCTGCAACCAACCTTCCAGCCAATCAGTCTTCAGGCCAGGTCCAAGTCCCAACTTGCCCAAGAGCTGAGCCTCGGCAGGGAGCAAAGTCAGGTGACCCAGAGGGTGGGGCCGGCTCACCGCCAACCCCAAAGTTAGGATGTGCACCAAGACTGCTTTGGGAACTCAGGGCGTAGGTGTGAGCTGCAGGGAAAGATGGGTCTATGGGAGCCCCCATTAAAGGAGGGAGTGCCAGGGTGAACGAGGGTGGGAGGGGGGATTTCTAAAGTTGTTTTCCTAAACCTAGGGAGGCTCAGGGCACAGCAGGACCTTCGGGCACTCATCATAGTCTTCTAAGTTGCTAGAGAGACCCCGACCTTGAGTCACCTCTTCTGGGTTCGAAACTGTCGGAAGAGCCACTGGACAACGAAGGGCCACAGGATAAAGAAGAGCAGCGTGGGAGCCGAGAGCCCTAGGAGCCAAGGCCGAGTCCTGGGCGACCTCTGCTGCCAAGAGGGAAGGAGTCAGAACCCAGCTCAGGTGCAAGTTATATCCTCATAGCCTGCTTCCAGACTCTTTGGGCCTGGCCTCCCTGAGACTGGGAAAGACCTACCCTACTAGCCTGAAGCGCACCCCCCACCCCCATTCTCTCTCTCACACAGTCCAATCCCACGTGATAGGAGAGGCTGTAGGAAGAGACTAGCTTCCAAGCCAGCTCCTCCAGTACTCAAAGGGGGCACCCCGCTAGTAGAACTAGAGACCCTGGGTTGTAAAACACATAGCACATTATTTCAAACAAGGATGGGGTACTCTAGTGTTAGTTTCTAAATATCTGTTCTAGAAGGAGCCAGAACTCCTGGGAAGAGTAATTGATTCTAGGGTTGAGGCAGGGAAGGTGAAGTGAAGCAATGTCGGACATCTTGTACTAAAGAGCCAGGAAGCCCCTAGAGATGAACTAAGGGTCTTGGAAGGATTTCCAAAGTTGTGACAATGTAGTACACAAAAAGGAGCTGCCATAGAAATCTGATCGCCTGAGTTCAACCCCAGGCCTTCCGAACAGCACGGTTGGCCTCTGACTTACACACACACACACACACACACACACACACACACACACACAGAGAGAGAGAGAGAGAGAGAGAGAGAGAGAGAGAGAGAAAGAGAGAACAGTACACAGTGAGGTCTGTAACTCCACTGGACAAGCCAACCCCCTCAAGGCCATCACTGCTCAGACATGGTGCTTAGACATACATGTAAACAAAATGCCCACGTCCATAAAATAAACATTAAAGACAAATAGAAGGGCAGAGTAGGGGCTAGAGAGATGGCTCTAAGGGGGTTAAGAGCACTGGCTGCTCTTCCGGAGGTCTGAGTTCAATTCCCAGCAGCCACAGGGTGGCTCACAACCATCTATAATTGGATCTGATGCCCTCTTCCGCTGGGTCAGCGGCAGTGTGCTCATATACATAAAATAAATCTTAAAGAAAAAAAAAAGGACAGAGTATAGAGCCCTGTGATAGGGTACTTGTCTCGAATGTGAGGTGCTGGGTTAAATTCTCAGAACCACAAAAATACACGAGTGTTTCAGATGGTTAAAATGATGGATGGATCTTTAAAATTTAGGAATCTGTGGTGATAAAAGCAAACAAACACACAAAAGAACCCTAGAAATTATACCATTGAGGAAGCTCCAGTCAAATCCTTACTTTAAAAAACTAACTAGGGCCGGGCGGTGGTGGCGCACGCCTTTAATCCCAGCACTTGGGAGGCAGAGGCAGGTGGATCTCTGAGTTCGAGAGTTCGAGGCTAGCCTGGTCTACAGAGTGAGTTCCAGGACAGCCAGGGCTCCACAGAGAAACCCTGTCTCGAAAAAACCAAAAAAAAAAAAAACCAAAAAAAAAAAAAAAAAAAAACTAACTAGGGCCTGGAGAGAAGGCTCAGTGGTTAAGAGCATGGTTGCTTTTGTAGAGGGGCCGAGTGTGATTCCCAGCACCTACGTGATGCTTCCCAGCCACCCATAAGTCCAGTTCCAGGGGCTTTGACTCCATAGGCACCAGGCTCACACATGGTGCACATGTACATGCAGGCAAAATACACATAGACATAAAACAAATAAATCTTAAATAATTAAATAAACCCAGGCTAGGGATTCAGCTCACTGATAGAGCTTCTCTCAGTGTGTCGAAG